ATCCAAAGAACACCATACCTACTGTGAAGCATGGGGGTGGAAACATCATGCTTTGGGGCTGTTTTTCTGCAAAGGGACCAGGACGACTGATCCGTGTAAAGGAAAGAATGAATGGGGCCATGTATCGTGAGATTTTGAGTGAAAACCTCCTTCCATCAGCAAGGGCATTGAAGATGAAACGTGGCTGGGTCTTTCAGCATGACAATGATCCCAAACACATCACCCGGGCAACGAAGGTGTGGCTTCGTAAGAAGCATTTCAAGGTCCTGGAGTGGCCTAGCCAGTCTCCAGATCTCAACCCCATAGAAAATCTTTGGAGGGAGTTGAAAGTCCGTGTTGCCCAGCGACAGCCCCAAAACATCACTGCTCTAGAGGAGATCAGCATGAAGGAATGGGCCAAAATACCAGCAACAGTGTGTGAAAACCTTGTGAAGACTTACAGAAAATGTTTGACCTGTGTCATTGCCAACAAAGGGTATATAACAAAGTATTGAGAAACTTTTGTTATTGACCAAATACTTATTTTCCACCATAATTTGCAAATAAATTCATAAAAAATCCTACAATGTAATTTTCTGGATTTTTTCCCCTCATTTTGTCTGTCATAGTTGACGTGTACCTATGATGAAAATTACAGGCCTCTCTCATCTTTTTAAGTGGGAGAACTTGCACAATTGGTGGCTGACTAAATACTTTTTTCCCCCACTGTACCTGTCCACAATTTTAACCAGTAATGTAACTTTTGGATTACTTTCCGTTAGTTTTGGATTACTTTCCCCTTAAGACAAGACAAAAGGGATCCATAAAACACATTTGGTGTGTCATCATAGTGGTCTCTGACGTGTGGTCAGACCCACTCAGGTGGATCAAACATAATAAACTTGCGCCTTTTATTTAATGCTGAATTGAATGTCATTGAGAAACCGGAAAGGTGTCAATGTATTTTTTTTCGCAAACATCGTTTCTGAATTTAAAAGTAATACAAAAAGTAATGATCTAGTTTTTCAAAATAATCTGTAATCTGATTACAATGTTTTTGCTGGTAACATAACTGACCACAGTTCTTTGTAGTCAGATTACATTTAACTGATTACGTGTAATCAGTCCCTCCTTCGCAGTTACAGTGAGATATGAAGGTACAGTACATACAACCTGAATAGTATCCACAGAAAACCTGGCTATTGTTGGTGAGCACTTGTCAGCATTCATCGGGAGCCGATGCCAAACCAGGAAAATACAACATGCCTAATTGTACCATAAACATTACATTTGTCTTGCTTAATCCAGATCCATTTTTATTAAACAGAAGCAAATGTCTTGGAGTGGAGGGGCACCACTGCTTCTGACCTCCATGCTTTCCTGTGGGTGGAAATGCATCCTCCATCCTCTCTGCCTGTTGTTCTCCATCTTAGACTGAGGGAATAGGGTACTACAATCTGAGGTTCCACCAAAAGCAGATCCAGGATAATATTTATTGGCTCAGAAACACCATATCTAATGAATCCCTCCCCCTCATACCCTGCATTCATTATCACCATGATCATCAACACTTGACTCATCTGGCAGTGAACCTCTTACCACCCTGTCATCAACACACACACACACACACACACAACCGTCATCAACATCGCACAACAAATATTTACAGTACAGTATGTCCTCTCTTGGGTAAATCAGATCACCTCTCTAGATAAGATACCATATACACCAGTGACTGACCTTGAAAGCATCCCAGAAGGTCAAACAGAGATCTCTGTCAGAGTCTGTCTTCAGGGCTCAATTTAAAGGCAGGGCCTGGGTTTTTATTTGCTCGAAGTTACAGGAATAATCTGATGGCAGGGAGGGGGCTGAGTGTCGTGTGGCCAACTGCATATTAAATGTGCTCATTTCATGGCCTGTCAGCCCTGGCCTGATTTGTGATGCACAAAAAACACACACAGTCTCATTTACTCACACTCACTCACATTACTGTACACATTCACTCATGCATGCTAACACACTAACGCACACACTCAATCACGAACAAATGCATGCGATCAGGCACGCATGCACACACAAACACACACCCCCGCAGGCAGGCATGTGAGCACACACACACATGCAAGCACGCACACCACACACACTGCCAGTCAAGCCTGCTATCATTTGAACTCCTCCCCCTGTGGTGAGTCCTTAAGACATCTCCATCACTGCTGTCAGAAGATATGAATACTGCAAAATAACTAAGGGAAACAAAACATGCGCACGCACGCACAAAAAACAATTGGTATCCGTGTTGTCGATGTAGAAAAAGGTGAAGACTGACTTTGGGTTTTGTTACAGTACCACAAGTGTATACTGGCAGAGATCTGACAAGCGAATCCAGCTGGCTGAATTGGCAGTACTACTGCTGAATGAGGAGACAGGTGGTAGATAGAGGCCTATGGTAACAAACGCTGAGGTTCACACACTTGGAAAGCTCTTTTTGCTTTTAAGATATGTCGATGTCCACGAGGTACAGGAATTAGACCAAAGCAATATACTCTCGCATAGACATGTTTAATGCAGGATGATTTAAGAAGGAAATACCAAGGATGTTAGGTGTTTTTAGTGAAACTGTTACAAAGCTCATTGATCCATAGATAACATAGCATCTTGCTTCATCTGACATATTCTTGAAGTCTCATGGGGGCTCATTTTGCTACTGGTCAGTCTTTGCCTTCCAAAATCAGAAATATTCCTTTTATGTATGTACATCTAAAAATGCTCTCTTTTCAGAAATTCTAACATCTTTCTTATTCAAACATTTCTTTCTAAAATCAGGTCCCTTGTTGAATTCAGATCACAATTCAATCACAGTTGACATTAAGTCCTGGTATCCCATAGCTGTTAGTGCATTTGTGTGTCAAATATAACAAAATATATGGCCAGTCCGCATACTTTAAGAAAGATCAGAACAAAAGTACAAGCAAACAGAAAAATGCACCAAAAACAAATAACATTTCTAAACTCAGATACTGAGCATTAACATTAAGAGGTCTTTCCAATACATTTTCATTACATATATATTTATTTGCTCTTAAATATTTTAAATCTTATATAAAATAATTAATCAGAACCAATTCTATGTACATAGACAAGAGTGCACAAGATGAATGGATGGTGTGGCATGCCAAGGTGGTTTTGGCCAGGCAGGAGTTGCTGTATTCTTGTAGGTAGTGATTTGTTTCTCTATTAACCTGGTCAGTTCTCTCACTCGGGAATGACTTGTTTCCATACCGAACATAACTCGGTGGCCCTAAGGGGAAAATTTGATTTTTTAAAATTACTTTGCCACATAAAGGCTCTACAACATCAATCTGACGTCTGCATTGGCTGTGCAGCATTTATGGTGATATGGCCTCTGCAGAAGTCAGGGCATTCATACTCCTGCGCTTCGCAAAGCAGAGCTGTTGTGAAGGACCTTGTCAAGGAAGTGAGTTTGTGTTTATACAGGACCTCCCGCCCTCACCTACCGTCAACCAATCATGTCAATGCGGAGCTATAGGGTGCCCTCCACATTGTTACATTTGAGAGGCGCACGGCGATGCGGAACAGAGTTCAATTTGGCCTCTGCGTGCCTCCAGAGGCTCCGCAATTGCGTCACACCATCCATACAGCGCCTCTGACCACATTTTCGAATCAAGCATAAATTGGCTCTTAGGGCCACCGTACATAATACCAGCTGTATAAGGTTAAATATTCAACACTGAATCTCTGCCCTGTCCTCTGTCCCTCAACAGAACATGGTTTCAGGAGCATCCATAATAATGGCATAATGATACTAAAATTGTGTAAAAATATAATTGTTTGTTTCACGTCATATTATAGCGAACGTAGCTTGATCTGCTCCATAGACAAAAGTGATGGTGTTTTCAAGAAATGTGCATTGATATACAAAGCAAAACACACAGCACATAGCTATATACAAGGCTTGCATGCTCTGTTTCCTATAAATAAATAAAATAGTGTTTAAGCATTGATTTTGGACATGACCCATTGAATGAACCTCCAACCATTTTGTGACGCCTTGCCAGAGATGGAAAATGTTGGCTTGGGTTTTACTGTATATCAAATGGGACAAGAGGAAATGGTTGAGCTTGGAACTGCTGCTGCTTGGACATGAATGTCACTATTGCTCCAACACCACAAATATACACAATGACAATGTGATTGTTGTTATTGTTGTACACTTCGCTCTAAAAACAACAACAGTAAGACATCATACAGACAAGAACATTCAATATCAACCTGTAACAGAATACTCAATGTGGTTTCGGTTTTTCTTTTCGATTGTTTTTTTTTATTTTCACAACGTATCGGCATCCACAGAAATCTGACAAGAGCAGACATCTTTGTATATTACTAAGAAATCTCTAACTGATATTCACAGTATATTATAGTAAGTATGCTTGTTCAAAATGGCGAAAATACCAATGACTCTAAATTGCTGGTGTGTTTGTTTAAAACACTGGTACTGAGCTTATTGAAGTACTGCAGGTACACAAATCAGAGAGTAGTCGGTGGATTTAGTGACTCACAAAAGAGAACGCAATCTCATTTGCTTTGAGCGAGAATAAACACAAGTGTTCGGTTCACACACATCCACACACACATCCATATTCTCTATCTTCGATAGATCTGTAATAATAATAACATACTATAGTGGTAAAAATACCTTCAACAAAAGGTACTATATCTTGTGGCGTATGACTCACATTCCTCTATGAAGGAGAAAAATCAGTTCTGCTGTGTATTGTATGGCTGGTCATTGGGGAGCTTATATGACAATGTCAGATCATCTGTACAGTGAAATGGAACACATTCAAACAAAAAAAGAATACAAGTAAAAGTCGTGATGTTAGATTTTTGTTGTTGTTGTTGTTGTAGTTCCTAGAAAGGAAAGGAGGAGTGAGTTGAGGATTGGAGGGAGGGAGGGAGGGAGGGAGGCTGGTATGGGAATGATTGCCTATATCTTTACACTACACAGTAGTTTCATTTCTCCAGGGTCCAGTGCGTATATTCCCTGTGCTGTCTGATGCGTACAGGAAACCCTCGTGCAGGCCGCCTTTAAGGATGCCATTCTGATTGGGCGGTGGGTTCTGGGGGTAGGACTGTCTACGTGGGTGCATCTCCAGCTGGTGATGAGGCACGATCAGGTCCTCCTCATTGGCTATTTTGCCACAGCCGCACAGAAAGGTACCCGTGTCGCCTGCCTCCACCTGGCACAGAGTGGGGAACAGGTCCGCCTTAGCACAGCAAGGCACGTGCCGGTGGCAGGGGGCGTGGCATGCCAGCGCCGCCTCGTGAGCCGTCGCAGCTTGGCACGTGTGGTGGCCTACTTCGTGGGGGGCAGCAGCCAGGTGGCAGATGTGTCCGTGGCGCTCGTGCGTGCTGTGAGGGCTGTCTGTGTGGGAGCTGTGGATAGAGCCTCCGTCTACACTGGAGGGGATGTGGTAGGCGTACTCCCTCTCTCCCACCCCTCCTCCCCCTCCTGTGCCAGCCTGCCGGTGACGGCTGAAGTGGCGAGGCTTAGTCCTAGTGCTGCCCTTCAGGCATCGATGCAGGTGGATGTCTGGCCGGTAGCCCTCGGGGTCGGCGTGTAGCAGCACGTGTGCGGGAGGCTCCTCCTCCATCAGCTGCTGGCAGCAGGGCACCACAGGGGGCAGGCACGTCACATGGTTCTGCGATGACGCCAGGCTGCCATGCTTACAGTGACCCAAGGTGCCACTGTGGGTGTGTCCTCCTAACAGGGCCTTACCCGGGCAAGGCGAATCCAGGTGGCAGTGCCCATGCCCGTGCCCATGCCCTAAGGCATCCCCATTGACATTAATCTTTGGACGAGTGTGGCCGTGACCATGGCCGTGGCAACCATGGTTGGCGCGTCTCCCGGGGCAACAGGCGCACCAGCAGTGCCACACGTCGTCCCGCTTGGCACAGTGGTGGATGAGCACGAAGAGGCCCAGCGTGACGGAGAAGGCACCATACAGGCAGCTGAAGATCATGTCCAGAAAGTGGCCCTGTGACACAGCCAGCGCCCCGAAGGCCCACGTGGCCACGAACAAGAAGAGGGTGAAGGCTGCCGTCCTCAGCTGGGCCTTGAACGAATGCTCGTTGGCCAGCATAGAGGGGTTGATGGCAGTGGACGAGTGGCAGCCCGCAGGGCAGTGCCCTCCATTGGGCGGTGGTGGCAGGGCTCCGGGCTCCCCTTCCCCTCCCTGATGGCAATGCCCACCCACGTCGGTGACGGATGCCAGCCTCTGCTGCTCCTCAGTCAGGGCTTTCAGCTCGTACTTTCTCTCGGGGTGGCGCCTCAGCTGAATGAAGGTACACAGGAAGTAGATGCAGGTGACCAGGACGATGAACGCCACGGGGCCGTAGAAGGCTCCAAGGCTGGGCTCCCATGCCATCCAGCAGCTGCAACACACACACATACACACACACACGCACGCACGCACACACACACACACACACACACACGCACGCACACACAGTAGGCTACATTAGTATTACAGTATGAGGGTGTGTTTCCTTAATAAACACTGAAAAACACACACAGAGAAGAGACATAGGCCTCTTGAAGTGATACATTACCTTGGGGGTGGGGGGTGAGCAACATACACTGAAGTGTGACTCATATCATCAGATCTATCTGCATCTCATTTTGGAGTGTTACAGTTTTTTTTAGATTGCTAACAAGCATTGTTCAATACTGCGGATACATGTGCAAAACTCTAAATACAGTTATCACAACAACACTCTGTGGTAACCTGTGGATCATTTGTCATTGCTTTGATAAAAAATGCATTCAATGACATCTTTCAAATTACAAAAATACTTGTCTCACAAAAACACATTTACCAACAAAACTCTATGTATCTACAGACCATTTTGCAAATGTTAAGATACCCTTATCAAAACTGTTAAACTCAAGTTCAAAAGTTACTGAAAATTGAATTCGACTGTAATTTTTTACATTGCTACAGTAAAAGCAAAATAGAAATTCTAAAATAAAATAACGGAATTTTACTGTAGAGTAGTAAATCGAGCAAAAGCTCTCCATTTGTGTGTAATTTTATTTCTGTTTTAGGACCCAACGGTTACCAAATGGAGGGGGGAGAGGTAGGATTTTCTCTGTTCAGCAGGAAGCTGTAATTGTTGACACGGTCATTAGCAACAATGCCATAAAACTCAGAGAAATTCAAGAGAGAGTGTTGGCAGACAATAATACATTTCAAAATGTTGAAAGTGTAAGCACGACAACCATTGCTAGAATCTTGACAAAGCATTATATCAACATGAAGCAGGTGTAAACTGTTCCCTTTGAGAGGAACTCTGATCGTGTCAACGAATTCCGGTACCAATATGTCCAGGTAAGATGTCTATATCCTGTAATACAGTACTGTTTTTACTGTAAACAAAACCCACCAGAGCACTGCACACTCAGCAGTGATTTCAGTTACAGTATACTGTAATGTAAACTACTGTTATAGAATAACTGTTATGTTGCCCTGTGGATTTACAATATTTTAGAGTGCCATGGAGCTTGAAGCCAGGCCAACACCCCACATGTTCATCTTTGTGGATGAGGCTGGTTTTAACATGGCCAAAACACGCCGACGTGGAAGGAATGTGATTGGGAAAAGAGCAACAGTGAATGTCCCGGGCCAGAGGGGTGCCAGCATCACAATGTGTGCCGCAATATCCTCTGAAGGATTGCTGTTACATAAACCACTAATTGGGCCATACAACACAGAGCGCCTCATTTCATTCATGGATGACCTCTATGGAAGGCTTTTGCCAGGTGAAGACAGAGGGCAAGTCAGAAGAAATATGGAAACCTGGGTGATTGTATGGGACAATGTGGCATTTCACCACTCCCATGCAGTAACAGAGTGGTTTGCAGCCCATCCCGGGATGGTGTTACTTTTCCTCCCCCCTTACTCTCCCTTCCTCAACCCCATAGAATAATTATTTTCCTCATGGAGGTGGAAAGTTTCTGACTATCATCCACATGATCAAATGTCACTCTTGGATGCAATGAATGCAGGATGCCTGGATATCTCTGCAGAAGATTGCCAGGGATGGATCAGGCATGCAAAGAGATTCTTTCCCAGGTGTATTGCGCGAGAGGCCATACGGTGTGATGTGGATGAGAACTTGTGGCCCAATGTAGCAGACAGGGTTGACTAGAACAGTTTAAAACTGTGACCTTGAGAATAGGAGACTGCTGGGTGACTTACTAGGGTGCCGTCTCCCCACTGCCATAGTTCTCAATATTGACGGCTGCTGTGATTCCACAGATGATGAAGGGCACTCCGCCACTGACTAAATAAAACCTGAGGGGAGAGCGAAAGAGAGAAAGAGAGAAAGAGAGATTATAAAATGTGTGACATAAAAATAAACTTTACAACACCAATATCCTCTATTTTCTGGGCTGTACTTTAGTAATCAATAGTATTGAGTGAGAGAGAGAGATAAGAGAGAGAGAGAGAGTCAGAGAGAGAGAATGAGAGCGAGAGACAAAAAGAAGAGGAAAAAGAAAGGGAGTGAGACCTGAGGATGTGCTTCTCTCTGTGTGCCGGCCTGGGTTGTAGACTGGAGATAGAGAGAAAGGGAGATAGAGAGAAAAGGAGGGGAGAGAAAAGGAGAGAAAGAGAAAAGGAGAGGGAGAGAAAATGAGAGACAGCGTGAGAGAAAGGTCAAATGGACCTCCTCCTCTCCTCTTTTTTCCTCTGTGCAGCATAAAAAATCTCTACCACTCTTCAACATGAAAACAGCTCTGAGGCACAGTATAAGTAGGCAAACAGCTTCATTTGTGCTGGAGCATCTTCACACAGCTTGGTGCATCCACTTCTTCTCAAATAGGAGATGTCTCTATTATAGAGTTCTCATTCTTAGCCCGAACCCGACGCGGCCCGGTCTTATACCGGGCCGAGCCTCAAATTCAGTGAATTGATTCTGTGCGGGCGGGTTTTGGGCTTGCTGTGCTGCGTTAAGAAATAAAAACTGTGCGTGTCTGCGCACCTTTTAGCCTAATACAGCGCTCTCTCAGCCGCAGCAGCTGCAGAAACTAGCGCCGCCAGGATTCTAATATTGGCTGGGCCAGAGAAATTTGTGTCCATGATTAAACTTAGTTTTTTGATGATTGAAATGTTTCAAATTGCGATACAAATAGGCTGGAGTGCCCTCGGGAGATTGATGATCCACAAGACTATGACAGGCAGCGCATCTCAGTATCAGGAGAAGCCCATATTCCAATGGCATCTTAACGCAGATACATCCTAACAAAATACAGCCTATGACTGCCCTGCTAATGTGCCTTGCTGGACCTTGCAACTATCGAAAGTACACCTATAACTGATCCAAATATTTCCTAGTCAAATATGCATTCAAAACACGGGCTTTTAAGCGATTATTCAAATGTATGTTTGGCAGAAAATCTAGTTATTTATTTATTGTTTAATTATTCAAGGCTCCTTTGTTATTTAATTATTTGTTTATGCTTGATCGTATTTAAAGGCATGGATGACTTTGTAATGACATGAATGAATGATTTATTTGTTATATTGAAGTAGGTTACATTAAGACATAAAACAGGATTGGCTCTCACAGCTCAGTGATGGATAGATTATATAAGGCTACTATGTGAGTCAATAGATAAATAATACTCTTGATTTAGGCAACATTATTGCATGCTAAATGTTTCTGATCAGTGATAGATGAGCAAACGAATAAATGAGCCACCACTTCCACTTCCACTTGTCCAGCCAGAGATCAATTAACCAAATATACAGACAGAGATTCAGTGAAACAAAATCACATTGATTAATTATCACAGACTTTTGGTCGGGAGTAGGACAGGCTATTATGCGAGTGAAGAGCAAAATCCACTTGTTAAGCTACATAACATCCTGGCAAAAGTTTCTGATCAGCTAATATATGAGCAAACTATACTGAACAAAAATGTAAACGCAACATGCAACAATTTAAAAGATTATACTGATTTACAGTTCATAAGGAAATCAGTCAATTTAAATACATAAATTAGGCCCTAATCTATGGATTTCACATGACTGGGAATACAGATATGCATCTGTTGGTCACAGATACCTTTAAAAAAAAGTAGGGGTGTGGATCAGAAAACCCAGTCACTATCTGGTGTGACCACCATTTGCCTCATTCAGCGCGACACATCTCCTTCGCATCGAGTTGATCAGGCTGTTGATTGAGGCTTGTGGAATGTTGTCCCACTCCTCTTCAATGGCTGTGTGAAGTTGCTGGATATTGGCAAGAACTGGTAACACACTGTCGTATACGTTGATACAGAGCATCCCAAACATGCTCAATGGATGACATGTCTGGTGAGTATGCAGGCCATGGAAGAACTGGGACATTTTCAGCTGCCAGGAATTGTGTACAGATCCTTGCGACATGCGGCCGTGCATTATCATGCTGAAACATGAGGTGATGGCGGCGGATGAATGGCACGACAATGGGCCTCAGGATCTCGTCACGGTATCTCTGTGCATTCAAATTGCCATCGATAAAATGCAATTGTGTTCATTGTCCATAGCTTATGCCTTCCCATACCATAACCCCACCGCCACAATGGGGCACTCTGTTCACAACGTTGACATCAGCAAACCGCTCGCCCACACGACGCCATACACGTGGTCTACGGTTGTGTGGTCGGTTGGACGTACTACCAAATTCTCAAAAACGATGTTGGAGGCTGCTTATGGTAGAGAAATTCTCTGGCAACAGCTCTGGTGGACATTCCTGCAGTCAGCATGCAAATTGCACGCTCCCTCAAAACTTGAGACATCTGTGGCATTGTGTTGTGTGACAAAACATTTTAGAGTGGCCTTTTATTGTCCCCAGCACAAGGTGCACCTGTGTAATGATCATGCTGTTTAATCAGCTTCTTGATATGCCACACCTGTCAGGTGGATGGATTATATTGGCAAAGGAGAAATGCTCACCAACAGGAATGTAAACAAATTTCTGCACAACATTTTAGAGAAATACGCTTTTTGTGCATATGTAACATTTCTGTGATCTTTTATTTCAGCTCATGAAACATGGGACCAACACTTGACATGTTTTGTTTATATTTTTGTTCAGTGTTGAATAAATATGATCGTGAGCACTCACCTCAACTTAGCTACAATTTTCCCAGCCTAATAGTTACCAAATATCCAAACATAAATCTGAAATTGATTGATTTATCAAGACGCATCTCCCATGCTTGTCTCAAAGCAGCGCAATGGCGCTATCTCAATCAAAACAGTGCTGAAATGACCATCTAGGTGACCACACACGACTATTGCTTTCAATTAGTATAACGGTTGGATAAGACTTCGGGAGTTTCATTATAAGAAAGAATTTCATACATGCTTTCAATTGC